AGGAGCCTAGTGGGCGACAGTCCCTGGGGCCACAGAGTTGGACGCGACTGAGCACAGAATGGATACATGTGCTTAGCAGAGGATTTGTACAGACAGCATGCAATAATAGTGCACAACCTGCTTCAGTTTTGATCAATGAGTTTAGTTCTGCAAAATAATAACCTTGATATTGACATTATCTATTTTTCACATACCTATTGTAATATGTAACACAGTATCTGGAACACAATAGACGTTTAATGAATATTTGCTGAATACATTTAGAAGCATGATGATCTCTATAAATGCTCTATAAACTGCTACTAAATTTTTAGAAGCCTTACCATATTCCATGGTACTTTAATATTTTCATACATGCTTTTATAATCTATTGTCTGTTAGCAATGTAATCTCAGCCTTAAGTTCTAATTTAAATATATACCTGTATTATATGTAATCAATCACTTCAATGTCTTTTGCTTTCTTCTCTGTGGCTTATATTCTCTTTGATAATTATTTATGCAAATTTCCATTTTTATCACCAGAATGTTTTCCCAGTTTTTAGATAACCAAGCATATCTACACTTGTGGCTGTGTTTTGTTTTTAAATGCCAGAGAGGCTTATGTAAATATAGAATAATTTAATGTACTTTATTAATATGTCCTTTACAACCCTCCAGATAGCATTTTGAAGTATCTTTTAGAATAATCCAAAAGAAGGATAGAAGAAGTCAGCCTTTATCGTTCTTTATCAATGTTACCAAAACCATCAATTAAAATGTTCCAGTTAATTTTGACATGTGCATCCTTCCTTATCTGAAAATGTCAATTGCTCAGTTTGCTTAATACAGTTTGAAGTCAACTGGGTGTTCTTTCTTTTTTTTAATCATTTATACTAAGCCATGTTTTGATACGTGACAGATTGGAAAATCTCACTTTTCTTTAATAGTTTTTGTTTAATTATTCTGCATAAATTTACAGCTATGATTAGGTAGTTTGACTCTATCTACATTATTAAAGATTGAATTTTCTTACTGTATTTTAAATCTCTTATTAATGAAAAATAATCTGAAATATTCATACCACTTACTTATTACATTAAAATCTCAAATTATGGTAAATGTCTGGCTTTCTATATCCTAGTTAACTAGGGAGAATTACACTCTCAATTATCTATTTTTTAATAAATGAAAAATTGGTTTGTTTACTAGTTTGGTTTCATAAAAACTAGTTTGGTTTCATAAAATGTTTTTATAAAACATTTAAATCTAAGATTTCTTATTCTTTTGTACATTTTTGCATATTGTGAGTGTGTGTTAGTCCCTCAGTCTTGTCCGACTCTTTGTGATCCCATGAACTATAGCCCGCCAGGCTCCTCTGTCCATGGAATTCTCCAGGCAAGAATACCAGAGTGGGTAGTAATTCCCTTCTCCAGGGGATCTACCTTTCCCAGGGACTGAACCTGTGTCTCCTGCATTGCAGTCAGATTCTTTACGATTTCAGCCACCAGGGAAGTCCTTTTTGCATACTGACCTTATGAAAACAAAATGGATTCTTCAGTTCAGCTCAGTCGCTCCATCGTGTCCGACTCCTTGCGACCCCATGAACTGCGGCACGCCAGGCCTCCCTGTCCATCACCAACTCTCGGAGTTTACTCAAACTCATGTCCATTGAGTTGATGATGCCATCCAGCCATCACATCCTCTGTCGTCCCCTTCTCCTCCTGACTTTAATCTTTCCCAACATCTGGGTCTTTTCCAATGAGTCAGCTCTTCACATCAAGTGGCCAAAATATTGGAGTTTAGCTTCAGCATCAGTCCTTCCAATGAACCCCCAGTAGTGATTTCCTTTAGGATGGACTGGTTGGATCTCCTTGCAGTCCAAGGGACTCTCAAGCGTCTTCTCCAATACCGCAGTTCAAAAGCATCAATTGTTCTGTGCTCAGATTTCTTTACAGTTCAACTCTCACATCCATACATGACTACTGGAAAAACCATAGCCTTGACTAGACAGACCTTTGTTGGCAAAGTAATGTCTTTGCATTTTAATAGGCTGTCTAGGTTGGTCATACCTTTCCTTCCAAGGAGTCAGCATCTTTTAATTTCATGGCTGCAATCACCATCTGCAGTGATTCTGGAGCTGCCCAAAGTAAAGTCAGTCCCTGTTTCCACTGTTTCCCCATCTATTTTCCATGAAGTGATGGGACTGGATGCCATGATCTTAGTTTTCTGAATGTTGAGCTTTAAGCCAACTTTTTCACTCTCCTCTTTCACTTTCATCAAGAAGCTCTTTAGTTCTTCTTCACTCTCTGCCATAAGGGTGGTGTCATCTGCATATGTGAGGTTATTGATATTTTTCCTGGAAATCTTGATTCCAGCTTGTGCTTCCTCCAGCCCAGCATTTCTCATGATATACTCTGCATATGTTAAATAAGCAGGGTGACAATATACAGCCTTGACGTACTCCTTTTCCTATTTGGAACCAGTCTATATTTCCATGTCCAGTTTTAACAGTTGTTTCATGACCTGCATACAGGTTTCTCAAGAGGCAGGTCAGGTGGTCTGGTATTCCCATCTCTTTCAGAATTTTCCTCAGTTTATTGTGATCCACACAGTCAAGGGCTTTGGCATAGTCAATAAAACAGACTAAAATCTTACTTATAAAGAATTGAACAATGTTCTCAAACATTATTGTGCATACAAATTACTGAAAATCATGTTAATATGCAAAGTTTGATTCAGTAGGTCTGGGATGAGACCACATTTTGAGGCATAAACACCTAAGATTATCTTAAGCCATCTAATGATGACTCAATGGATATTTATTGAATGTTATAGACAACATGCACAATTATTTACTGCAAGTGAGGCAAAGCAATGATTTTTGAAAGAGCATGAGCACTCAGTTGCAATGTTCAATTCACTCTTTGATGTTTATCAGCTGCTTTGATTTGGACAGATTTTATCTTTTCCTAGTGTTAGTATGCCTTCTTATTATCCCAAGCTTGAGAAATAACTATTGATTGACTAAGATTTCAAAAGAAATAATCTGTTTCAATGATGACAATTTCAGTTCAATTTAACAAACTACTGAACATATACAATGAGTTAAAAGAGTGGTATACTCAGGTAATAATAAACCACAGTTTATATGAATTTTCCTTTTCTGCAAGTTAAGTGAAACATTATATGACATACAAGCATTGACATTACTAGTTGGGAAGTTTGATGGCCTTTAGCTATCAGCAGGTATATATTTTTAACATCTAAAATTATTTTGGCAAAAATTTAATGTTTCTATGTTGCTTAAAATTCTTACTTTTTCCTAAATTCTAGAGGTAAATTATGCACCCAAATGTATCTCACATCAATTTCTTCTAATTGAATCAGATAAGGAATTGTTTGGGGCCAGACCCTTGCTATATACTGGAATATCTTTGTAACTGTTCATTAACAATATGATTCAACTGCTAGCATAAATTGGGATCAAGAAATCTAGACATTTCAGAAATTAAATAAGATATCAATTATTTGCTAATGGGAAATACTCCAAGATAATGACTTAAAAACTTCTGATTATGTGTCATGGAACATTCTAAACCCAGAAGTGGCTCCTTTCACTCAGTTGGCAATAGAATATGGGACTCATCACTAATAATAAATCAACATCGGAAGCTGGTTTGGTACAAATTGTAGTTGGCTAATATTCTCTGTGTTTCAAATTGGGTAATTAATTATATTAGCTACATTTCCTGTAATAAACATATTAGAAACAATGATATGTTTGCAATGAAACAAGTATGGTTTTGCTATTTTTAATAGATGTGATACGCATGCCACATTCCTTTCTTTCCTTTAAAACCATTGTCATTACAAATGAGTTTTCACTACTTATTTTTATGCAGTACTGACTACCTAGCTAGTGCTTTTACACTTTTGTTTTGTTTTTTTCAAACTTTCAACTTTTTATTTTGTATTGGGGCATAGCCAATTAACAATGTTGTAATTTCAGGTGACACAAACTCCCCTCCCATTCAGGCTGGCATATAACAATGGGTAGAGTTCCAGGTACTATACAATAGGTCCTTCCTTGTTGGTTATCCATTTTGAATGCAGCAGTCTGTGTTTTTAAAAGATCATAAATTAAATTTATAAGACAAAATCAGGTACATGTTCTTTTGTTTCATTTTGTCTTCTTATGAAAACACTGATGATGATTTGGCCAAGAAACCAATCTTAGGGTTTCCCTTGATTACAACAGTGTTCTGATGTTTGCTTTTGACTATTTCCGAGTTTCAGAGAAAATTTCATAAGAACCATTTTATGAAAGACTGAAAATTCTTAAATAGCTATCCCTCCATTGTATACTATATAATTACATGTATTTTAGGAGTATTTAATTCAGTCTGATTTTTGAAGTCTTCATTCATTTTACTCCTCTCTTTCTCCTTTTGATGGAATAGGCCACATAAGATGGGCCTGAGCCCTTTAGCTGCGGGACCATGTGGATGGGTCCTTAGCTCACTAGCAGAGGCAACTATCATCCTGGTTGAGAACCTATTGTTTGGTAGCGGAAAGTCCTAAGTAAAAACAGGTTTATAAAGCCAGAGTTAACAGCGTGAAAATCAGCTTGCTTGTCTCTAACACAAACTTCAGTTTTCAACAGAGACTTGACTTTTCAAAATGCACAGTGAATAGTTACGTTTGTTTTTAATCAAGCAAATGGGCATTGCAGCATCAAGCACTCATTTGATTTTTAATGTGCATTGGTATCACCAATGATAATTCAAGTGACAGCATAAATAATGGTCAATACTGTGTCAGAATAAAAGCAGTTGCCATTTTTTCTAACAGGCAGATTCAGAGATTACTCACAATTAAAAGCAGAATAATAGGAAAGGGATATATTCATATTATCAAATACAGCCATGGTTTTAGAAATGCTTTAAAATGAAAGTAAGAGGTTGAAACTTACCAGTTTTATAGAACCTTACTTATATTAATTATAAATTTTCTTTTTAGAGTGTTTCTCTTGGAGGATGGTAGCCTCAAAATATATAATGTTACCAGGTCGGATGCCGGATTATATACTTGCATAGCTACAAATCAGTTTGGTGTTGCAAAGAACACTGGCAGCCTCATCATAAAAGGTATTTCACTATCTTTGTTTGTGCTTGATGAACACTGGAGACACGTATGCATACCCGACCTCTATCACAGTCAACCCTGCATCATACTGCATATGTGAAATATTTGATTTCACAACTTATTTGAGTAGTGCCCTTATATTTATTAATAGCATGCTCACTTTGCCAGTGGAACAGCATGGTAGATGTGAATAGCTTGACAGTTCAAAAACTGTCCAGTGAGTAATAAGACAAAACTAAACCTGCACTTAAAATACGTGGATTTCCACAAATGCCTCAGTGAGAGGAATTGATGAATATTTTGATGATGTTAGTCAGGTTTCTTTCAGAAACTCTCAATTGTGTGAAAATTTTACCTGGATGTAAGGTTGCCAAGTACATAGTCAATTCATTTGTTTCTATAACTCTGGGTACTTAACTATAACTAGTGAAATGCAGACTTTCTTGCATTCACCTTAATAAGCAGTTCTTTACAAAGAGAAAAAAAAATTAAAATATTGGTGACATGTAAATCATTATTAGATTCCCATCACAGTAAATGGATATGTTCACCCGATTTCAGATGGTAAAACTGCACACTCTCTTCTTGAAACTTTTAAACTAGCATCAGTCCAAATGTAACTACATATCACCAAGGGACATAATTAGGATTAGACACTCCTATTCTCCATCTCTGCTACTTTATTGAATCTCAGCTCATAAAACTAGTATGTTTAGGGGAAGCCAGGTCACTTTTTCATTTCATTGCCTCCTGGATGATCAAAACGACTGTCTTGAGAGAGGAGTCCAAGCAGGTTATTAAGCCCAAATGATTAAATTCAGCAATTGGTGTTTTATCATCATTTCTATTAGAAATAAATAAGTTCAATATAAAGTACTTAGCTACTACCCACCAATTATCCTTTAAAATGTCTAAAGGAAAATAAACACCCACTTTTATCCCTAGAAGATATTTCTGCCAACTTTATCTTAAGCCTATTATATTATGCCAACAATTGTCTGAAACAGTCAAGGGAAATGTAAATGATAGAACTTGTGTAAAAATCTAACCAGTGTGGGATATTTTGAAAACTTTCACTTCTTTAATACTGTATTGTCATCAGGTTTTTAAGACTGATATGGACTTAATGTTTTAAGGAATGTGCTATAATTATATTTAATGATAGAGAATTTCCCCAGCAACTTTTTGGTAATACTCATGTACTGAAAAGTGTGAATGCTTTATGTTTGAAGAAATAACATGTCCATCAAGGGAAGAAAAAGAAATTACCTTATTTCCAATTTAGACACTATGGGTGGTATTCATTCATTATATTACAATAGAAGATTAATATATGCTGGAAAGACATGCAGTCAATTTTTCTAGGTATGGAGAAATCCAGAAGGAATTAAAACATGAAATATTAAAGATAGAACACATCAGCAGTGAAAATGTAGTTTCTCAAAAGTTTTGGTGGACTACTGGTGATGGGTAAGCGGGACCAACGGTTTGCTGCTAAAATACAATGACGAGATCCTTTCACCCCAAAGAGTAGCGAAAAAAAAATTTATAAATAGATTAAGCAACACAGATAGTTTCTCTTCCTTAATATTTTCTTTTGCCTTTGGCATCATAATGATTGTACATCACTAATCAATGGAAGAAAAACCATGTGAGAAGATTCACATAAATATGAGAAACTCAAAAACATCTGCTCAGTTCTAAAGATAGCATGTGGATACTTCAGAAGTGAAACATAGCCATGTAGGTTCCTGATTCTTAGGACAGAAACAAGTTGATGGGTATTTGGGGATTTTCCATAAAACACACCATAATCCCCAGGTACTCTAATTTCTCTGTGAGTAAGAAAGTAATTAAATAAGATGGCTCAGTTAAAAAGCTGACATAGTTTTGCTTATTTCTAATGTCCTTTGCTGGAGATACTAAAACAAAATTATCTCAACCTGCATTCTGGTCATCTTCATCTTCTCCACTTTTCCTTCTTTTGTAGTATATTTCATCTTCCTACAAATGATATGATTCACTTATTCACATGTATTTTCTCCCTATCTTTCCCTTCTTCTAGAAAAGAAATGAAAAAGGCAACATTATCACAAATTTTAGTACAGTCCTGGGAACTGTATGTATTTACTAAATATTTATTGATTGAGTAAAAGGATCTCACCTTATCCCCCTTGGTTCTCAGAGATAATTTCTATACTGACTTCTCTGCTCTAAAATCTGAGTTTTCAATTTTTCAGGATTTATACTTGTTAGACTACTTCATAGTAGAGCACTTCAAAGGCAAATAATAAACTTCTAAATGCTTTCACTTTTCCAATGTTAGTGTTTGTAGTTACATGATTTTAATGCATAGAGAACTCCACACTCTGCAAGGGGGGACAAATAGGAAGCTACATGAAAATCTAAAATACTTCATGGACAGAACTCACTGTTCTTATATTTTCAGTACAATACCAGATGATTTACATATGCAAAAGGACTTAAATCAATATGCATGAATATCATTATTTTCAGTCATTTATATCCCATGATGGGAAGGAATGTGTGTTTGTTATTTTTAGCCTTCATGAAATATCCACATCTCATTTCAAGGGGATTTGGAGATTTTTTGCTTCTGTGCCATTGACAGTAGCCATTAATGTAATAAAAATAAACACACATACATAACATATACATTTAAAAACTACATAAACACAAAATATAAAAGCATATTTAGAAACTTTGATTTATTACTGATGTGTAATGCATACACTGTGGGATTCTTATACAAAATAGTTCTCAGATAAGTCTATCATTAGCATATCGTCTTAATGAGACTGCTGTCTCTAGTTCCCTTTCATGTAGGAATGTTGAAGGTATCACTGCCAAAAATTATTATTTTACAACCTATAGAATTGAAGCTGTAATCTGAGAAGGAAACATAATAGTATGCATTGATTCAGTCATTTTCTTGACTATTAAGAGCAGCCATCTGGCTGTTTGTGAAGACGATTTAATATTTTTCTGTGTGCTTGCAAATGTGTGTGTGTGTGTATGTGTGCCTCTATATGTGTACGTGTTTGTATTTTCCTGTCTATAGTGTTCATTTATTGTCATTACAGCATCAAATATAATTTTGTCTCTCAAATCAAGATCAGCTTACAGTGACCTTTCTGGTAATATGGTGGTAAAGAGCAAATGAGAAATTTCAGTAAAACTGATAAAAACAATCATCTTTCTTTGAATTTACTTATCAGCCTCAGTCATGCAAGAAACATTGTTGCTAGATAACGTGTAAAAAGAAAATAGTTGCAAGAGTAAGATATTTTAGCTTATTTTTTAGCTGATATGGCTTATCTGTGTTAAGAGGATTCTGAAGTTATCTACACTGTATGTTGGAAATTTCTATTTCACTAATGCAGCAGGATAAAGCAATTTGCCATTCAAACATTGGAAGTGAAATTAGCACCAGCCTTGCCAGAGCCTCAGAAGATGCCCAGGGTAATTTGAGGACATGTTCCATGGGCACAAACAGAAAATTGAAAGGAAAGAGAGTTTAAATGTCTTCGTTTTGAGGACTTGTAAAATTACAATGTGTGCATACACTAAGAGGTATATGAAAGTCACATAAAAGGGAAAATTATTTGATCTGGCATTTGGAAAATTATTAAAAAGCACAGAAACAGCAGGCTCTAGAAATTATCTTGTTTGCAGGCAACATTTGTTTTTGTTTCCCCACTGGAGAAGTTTTGGATGTTCAATTATAGGCCTCATTGCTTCAGCATTATTTTCAACTGAAATGTCGGAACTTGGAAAAGCATATCTAATGTGCAAATTAAGTTTATTGCTGCTCATTTAGTTGTTTATTCTTTGTGATAGAAGTCTTTATTATACCAGCATGGAGAGTGGCCTATCCATTTTCTCTAGCAGAAGAGGGTGTTCACTAATGTGATTCTACATTTACTAAGAGAAATACTAAGATAGGCAGATAATTGGAGGCCTTGTGGCTTTCCATGGCAGTTTAAAAGATTTGAGGTGTTTAACTCAGCTGTATCTAGAAGCCCAGCTTTCCTGAGTAAACGAAAATACAATATCACAGAGGTGACAAGACACAATGGAATATATCCATTATTTGTAGTGGCTGAATTCCCCGAGTACTGCTAATGTCTCTCCCCAAATGTTTAATTCTACATCCCAATTTTCTACAAAGAATGAATTAAAACATTTAATATAAAAAAGACTTTGACTTAAAATTTTTTAATGGAAGTATTTGTAAGGTGAAAAAATATATACTGAATTTTTACACTGTCTAGATATGAAATTTTCATTCCCCCTCCAACATTGTAAATAATGCCAAGTGAGTTCTTGAGAATTTCATAATTCAAGAATAAAGGAGAAAAAAAACAAAAAGCATTCATGTACGGAAACCCAATAATGTCAATAATACTTTGGCCTTCATAACAATTTAGATCATAGTCTTATAAAAATCTAGCACATATCACTCAAATAAAATTTCCAGGTATGTTAAGCAGCTTTTTTTCTTTTAAATATATATTATACAATATCTAATAGGATGGGCATTGTATATTAATTATAATAAATGAATTATAAATTTGCACATTTTTTGATTATTCAAGAAAATTGTCACCAAACCTACTATTGGTGAAAATTTCGTGTTGTTTTATTTATTCTGAATAAAAAGAGGGGATGTATAGCTTGTGGTTTGTGCCAATTAAAGCAAATAGATGAGCATATACCACTTCTTAAAGTGGTAAAAAGCAGAGACTTTGAAATTAGATTTATTAGTTCAATTATGAATTAAAATGAGATCCTAAAGAGTTTGTTTTTGCTGTTATTAATGTTGCATTATTTATTATCATCATTAATATATTTTATCAAGTACATACTCTGCTCCAGGCATTGTGACAGGTCCCTTATGCATGTCATCTCACTGTACCCTCAGAACAACACTTTGATGCAAGTGATCATTAGAGATTGAGGTATAAAGGGCTAAAATTAC